AACTTTAGGATCAGTCATAAATGCCACTCATTTAGCACTGTTGTAATTTCAAACTGTTGCTGAAGAAGTGGTCATTAAATGAGGATTATTTATAATCGTAGACTTCATTAAGAACCAACATACCTTAGCATAGAATAAAACTGATGGACCACTACACTGAAAAGAAAAGAAGTTCAATAAAGGAACAATAGGTATACCATCTAAAATTAAAGACTGAGTAAAATTGAGATTGAGTTTGAATAAAATTGAGATTTTATTGCCCAATTTTCTTCCAAAGCAAGGTTTTCCTTGCTTTCCTTGTTTTGGAAGAAAACAATAAAATAAAATCAAAAACTTTATACCACTTCCCCTCTAACTATTCATTGCATCTAGAAATCTGTGTGTATGTTTGATGGTTTCCTGCTACCCTTAAAAATTTCCTATTACAACTTGGGGGAAGATGTTCATATTTCATTCTTTTCTTCTGCACAGCCACTGCTGTTCAAGGGTAGCTTCTATGTTCAGGGATTTAGCCAGCTATCTAAAACTATCAAGGTTGTTGACAGACTATTTAATGAAGTAGGACAACTGGTTATTTCTGATAGTATGCTGCCTCTTGGTGGTTGAGAGAGATTTTTTATTAAATTAGGGATAATAATTTTTTAGAATTTTTGAGTACAAAGGAAGCATTTCCCATTATAAATTCTTCCAACACCTGCAGATACATGTTTGTGTCTTAGTGCATTTCAGCAGCTTTTCTTCAATTGGGTATATCTATTTTTTTTAAAGGTAGAGTATTAAACTTTCTTTTTCATAAAGAGATATCAGCCAGGGCAACAGCATCAACCCAAGGCAAATATCAGTAAGATTAATGTTTTATTTATCAGCTGTCTGGCTATACAGCAAATGTACTCATTTTGAAATCAATGGCTTTCATCCCAAAACTCACTGGAAGACCACCAGATCCTTTTGATCTGTGTGGGTTTCATGAATGTTAAGATTGGGGGTACAATATATTCAAATTGCTCTGTGGTTCAGCAGGTGGTATATACTTCAGTCACAGCCTTCAAGCTTTAGAAAAAACCAATCTGCATATTTAATTTTAATATTTTCCTTTAGGATTCATTGCCAAGAAGAAACGAGCTTGCTAACATTATTTCATTTCTCACTAATTAATCTGCCCTTTTCGAAAAAAACAAACAAACAAAGAAACACAACACTTTCATTTAACCATTACTCCCACAATTCATGGGATCATTATCAGCAGGTATTCTTACTATTTTGGTTATGAGATCTTTTTGAATGTCTGTGGAGTTTCCTTGGAAGAAAGTCCTCTCATTTGCCAATTTAAAGAAATCTTTTAATTTTAATCTATGAAGCCACAATTAAAAATGAAATACAGAGATGTCAATGGCTCAAAATTTTCTTCTTGAAAGGAGCATTCCAATATTGTGTACTGACACCTTATTTAATTAAGGAATATTTAGAATGAATAATTAGGAACTACGTTATGCAAATCCAAACTTAGTGGTTAATTTTTGAAGCGTTGTGCAAATGCAGGAAATTGCATTCATTGCATATACTGTAATCAGTAACTGTCAGCATACCATGCAACCTGCCTTTTCAAAAAAAAAAAAAGGCACTGGATTGGACAAGTTGTCAAGATTTTTTTTTCTATTTTAATTATCAGTCACAAACAAGAAGTCCTTTCCAACTGAATTTGTCCTTTTATTGGTTCAATTTTATTATTGGTTCAATTTATATGGCGCCCTTCTCCAGGGACTCAGGGCGTCTTACAATGCATTAAGCAGTAGCCTTCATACTTTTGTATATACCTGCTTAGTAGGGCTTTCAGCCCCCCCCTCCCAAGTGGAAGGCTGAGTCAACCTTGAGCCTGGTGACATTTGAACTTGCAGTAATTGCAGGCAGTTGGTGCTATTTAACAGCACTTTAGTCTGCTGTGCCACCAAGGCTCTTTTATAAATAATCCAGTTAAACTGAAAATTGGGTTAACTGAGTAAAGTTCACTATAGCTCAATGTTTTCTGCTAATATAGCTGGCATGAATAAACAACCGAAGAATGTCACTACTTTATAACCAGGTTTTCAAGGCATCAAAACTGCTGTCAGCAAAGAACTCTCCACAAATATCTGCTTTAATTTGTCTGTATTTTATGTTTTCTCATTATGCTTTTATTAAAAAGCTTTTGATCAAAGAAGAACAAAATAATCTGGCCTATGTTTAAATTCTTCTTTGTTAAGTTATTTATTTGAAATACATGAGGAAAAAAATAATTCTTACCTTTCTGTGTGTGCATGTGTGTGTTTGGTTGCAGTTGTGTTTTTAATTGGTGAGGAACAGAGAAATCAATTAACCCATCCAAGGGTGTTGTGCAATTTCAGGATCTCCCTGGACTCAAAGCTTCTGCTTAAGGAGCAGATGGCAGCCATGGTTAAATTAATTTCAACAGAACAGTGGCCAATAATGAAAAAATAAAGAAAGTCAATTCATATATACAGGTTACAATAATTTCAACAAAAATGTGGTCATCAATGATAAGTAACTGAACAAAATGATTAATAGAGCATTGGATTGTCCCATGGGTGAGTTGTCCCACAATGAGTTGGTCGCAGTGAGTTGTCCGTGATAAGTTGTCCTAGACTTGGCCAGAAAAGCCTTTGTAGACTTCATTTGGTGTGCTAGTTGCACCCTTTCCTAGATTAGGGGATACTTCATACAATCACTCATATTCCTTCTACTGCAATGAGGCTGCCCTTGAAGACTACTGGCAAGATTTATTTATTTTATTTATTTAGTTAGTTTGTCAAACATGTATGAGATAACAGGTATAAGTATAAACATGGATATGAACACAGGAAATAGGGACAAATAAATGGGGACAGGGACGGTAGGCATGCTGGTGTGCTTATGCACACCCCTTACAGACTTCTTAGGAATGGGGTGAGGTCAACAGTAGACAGTTTAAGGTTAAAGTTATGGGGGTTTGAGGATGTAACAACAGAGTCAGGTAGTGCATTTCAGGCATTGACCACTCTGTTGCTGAAGTAGTATTTTCTGCAATCGAGTTTGGAGCAGTTTACCTTGAGTTTGTAATCTATTGTGTGCTCGTGTATTATTGCGGTTGAAGCTGAAGTAGTCGTTGACAGGTAGGACATTGTAGCAGATAATTTTGTGTACTACGCTTAGGTCAGACCATAGGCAGCATAGTTCTAGGTTGTCCAAGCCCAAAATTTTAAGCCTGGTGGCATAAGGTATTCTGTTGTGAGCAGAGGAGTTGAGTACTCACCTCGTGAAATACCTCTGGACTATTAATGTCTGATATACAGTGTGGATTCCAGGCAGACAAGATGTATTCAAGAATTGGTCTAGCAAAGGTTTTGTATGCCCTAGTTTGCAGTACAATGTTACCAGAGAAGAAGCTTCACAATATTAGGTTAACAACTCTTAATGTCTTTTTGGCAATGCTGTTACAATGAGCTCTGGTGCTTAGATCGTTTGAGATGAGTACTCCAAGGTTCTTGACAGTGAAGGTCGTCTACGAGGTCGTATCCACCCAGCTTGTATTTGGTGCTCTAGGTTTTTTTGCCAATGTGTAAGACAGAGCATTTGTTGGTTGGGATGCTGGAGTTGCCAATTTGGAGTTGCCGACTGGCAAATCTTGCCAAGATTACTGGCAAGATTCAACTGGTCCAGAATGCAGCAGCATAGACATGCCTCAGTATGCCCATGTAACACCCCTCCCTTGTGAGCTGCACTAGTTATCAGCTAATTATCATCTTGTTTCCTAGTGTGATTCAAAGCCTTACCTATCATAGAGGAGGAGACTACTTGTCTCCCATAGAAACTGCCCAATCCTGTCTGGCAGGTTCCTTTGACTAAACAATGCCATATTTCCAGAATCCAGAATTCTGCCTTCTCTGTAGCAATGTTCAGAGTTCAGATTCACCCTGAGGTTTATCCCATTCTACTAGGGTTTCAAAAGTCTTTGAGGATTTGACTTTTTGGGAAAGGTCACTGAATCTCCTTTAGAGATTTCTTTGTTTTCATTGGGTTTTGTCATTCTTGGCATCTTTATCCTTCATTTTTATCTTTTGCTGTTTTCTTGTTTATAATATTTTAACCAATATGTAAACAGAGTGACAGGCAGTTGGGCAAACTAGTAATAATGTTGATCAAGATTCAATCAAATTTTATTAATATGTGGGTTTTTTAAAGTGCTATACCAGAAAGCCTTGGGTGGCACTTAGAAAATCTGTACATCTGACAAAATTTATGTCAGTCACAAAAAGCACTTTGCTTGAATTGATGCATATACTATGCCAGTACATATTGACTTCCTAGGTTCTTGGGAAGAAGTCAATAAGAATAAAGATCAACACCAGCTAAAGAACTATTACTGGTGATTTCACATAACTTTGAATCATCGTCATCATTCAACCAAAGTACATTTGCTCTTAACTAGTCTTGCTTAGTTAGCAGAATGCAGAGGATATCCTAAAACATATTATTAAATATATTTGAATAATTAATTTATTTTAATAAGTAATGTTTTAATTAAATATTAAATATTATTTATTAAAGGCAAGAGAACAGCCTAGAAGAAGGCAGTAACTAATCACTTTTGTAACCAAGAAAACTGCTCAGTGTGATGGTATCTTTATTTTATTAATCTGAATCTCATAATTTTTCTATTCATTTCTCTTCTGTAAATGCAGCAATTGTACTTTTTCTCCAGCAACTTTGCAATTTATAATTTCAGTTCTGCAATTCAAAGGCAATTTCCAGGGCAAAGTGAAGAAAATGTGTTGCAATCCTTAAAGATTTTAATATAGAAACAGTTTCCCTGAAAAAGCAAAGGTTTTTAATAATCAAGAACTGTCTCACCCTGTAATCACCAAAGCAAAATATGTTTTATCAAGCGAAGGTTGGTGAATATTTAACAAAGTGCCTCTAGCATTAACTTTTCTTTTGAGATCAAATGAAATGCTTGATCAGCTGACTTGTCAGTATTGCAATCCTCCTGAGATTAGTCAGTGAAAGCGAGAGTTGAATAAAGTAGACGGAGGAAAACATGGGAGGAAAATTCTTCTACCTTCTGGTAGCTTCAACTTTGATAGCCTACTACATCTACAGGCCTTTACCAGAGAATGTGGAAGAACCCTGGAAGCTGATGCTTTTAGATGCTGGCTTTAGAAGCCTAATACATGCGGTAAGTTGAGACATTTATTTCCTGTGCTTATACCTGAGAATGCTTGAAGGTGAAAGTTGTGCTTTTAGGGAAATAAGATAATGCCGTAGAAAACAACAACCAAGAATGAAGAACACAAAGTATATGTAAAATGACTCGTCATACTGAAAGCAGATACTGAATATTATTGGGGCGGGAGGGGAAAGAGATAGAATTTATGTATTTTTTTTACACCTTTTCTGGATATAATTATCTCATATATTAAAAGTATAATAAAAACAGAGCAACTTCCTCTCTATATTTTAGAAACCTATCCTTTTACAAAACATTTTCTTCCATAACATTAGACTCTGAGCAGGATGCCTTTTTTTTTTTTTATATTGGATATAATGTATATTTCAGACACTCAAGAGAGCCAGTTTGGTCTAGTGGTTAAGGCACAAGGCTAGAAACCTGAAGGCTAAATTTTAGACCAACCTTAGGCATGAAAGCCAGCTGTGTGATCAATTCCTGCTGTAACTAAATGGATCAATTCTTGGTTGATCCAGAAAAAAACAGATTCTGCACTTGCAGGAAAATGCTAGAGAAAGGAAGGAAGGAAGGAAGGAAGGAAGGAAGGAAGGAAGGAAGGAAGGAAGGGAGGGAGGGAGGGAGGAAGAAAGAAAGAAAGAAAGAAAGAACTTTCACGTCTTATCTTATGTATCTGTTTGCTGAACTGATTAAATTCTTGTATTTTTTTTTTCTCACCGCCTCATTATTTTCAGCTTGCAGTGCTTAATTGGTAATGCATGTAAGGTATTTTGTCTGTTTATTTTATTTTGTGCCTGCATACAGAAAGGGAAACCATACTTGCATTTCATTACCCTCCACAAGTCATCCCAAATAGGGAAATCTTAAAGTAAACACTCATTGTTTAATAGACTCAGTGCTCATGACCAGCTTTCTGAGTTTCTGTTGAGGTGTGCAAAAATCTTCACTGGGATTGCATGTGCTTGTGGGTGTTTGCAAAGAGAAAGAAAACAAGTACCTTACCCTTTTCAGCGACTGGAGAACCCACTCTCTGATTTGAGCTAAGTTTATTCTAATTGCTTGAAAGAGAATACAAAGTTCTATCTGTTTTGCAAGTGCAATTTATAGAGTAAAGTTTCAAGTGTAGTCAAATAATGATGTCCCATAGCAACAATACCATCCCCTTGGGCCTACCCTCTTTGCCTAATCTAATAGTAGCAGATATAGTATTAGTAATCATTAGTCCTGCAGGGCTTCTTCCATTTTTTTACAATCTTTCTTGAGATTTCACTTCTGCTTTATTCAACTTGGCTTGGTGGGCATGGCAGGGAAAGGATACTGCAGTCTTTTCCTACATTTTTATTTTTATTTTATTTATTTATTTGTCAAGTACGTATTAGGTAATATATATAAGAGTAAGCATGAATTGAATACATAAAATAGATACAAATAGAGGAAACATTAGGACTGTCACGGTAGGCACACTTACAGACCTCTTAGGAATGGGGTGAGGTCAACAGTAGACAGTCTAAGGTTAAATTTTTGCGGGTTTTGGAATGACACCACAGAGACAGATAGTGTATTCCAGGCATTGACCACTCTGTTGCTGAAATCATATTTTCTGCAATCAAGTTTGGAGCGGTTCACTTTAAGTTTGTATCTATTGTGTGCTCGTGTATTGTTGTGTTTGAAGCTGAAATAGTCATTGACAGGTAAGACATTGTAGCAGATGATTTTATGAATATTTTTCATAATAATTTTTATTTGTGCTTTTTTCTGATCAGGTCAGTGCTTTTAAAGTACTAACTGAAGCCATTTTACTAGGCCAAACTACTGTACCTCTCAGATGAGCATTTCTCCTTCACCTGAAATGCCTGCCATGTTGCAGGAGATCATGAAAAAAGGCATAAAAGGAACCCAGGACAAAAACTAGAATAGAGTCATTTGGCAGAACAGGGAAGAAAGATACAATGCAAAGTGAGACTAGGTGGGAATAGAGCAGTGGTGGTATTCATTTTTTTTTTTTTTACTACTACTGTAATAATTCTTGGAGGTCCAAATGTTCTATGTCAGCATTGCTAAGTATTCAATCGATTTTTATTATGATCATAGATGAGCATTAAAAACAACAACAATAATCGTAAAAAAATAAAAATAAAGGCAAACAGAATAATATATTGGATTGGTGCTGGATTAACAGTAGGCAATTTGCCTAATTTTACATACAGCATAGTGGAATTTGGCCACATTCAGAGAAACTACTTCACACTAATCTGATAACAATTGTTGCACGTGAAAAAGATCACTATTTCCCAGATATTTTATTAGGTAAAGACAGTGGTGGGATTCAGCCAGTTCGCACCACTTCATCCCACCACTGGGTAAAGGGTTATACATTGAGCCCTTGTAGAAAATGCTGTATAGCAGGACTTGAGCTATGGTATTCAGCCAACATTCCTAAGTGTGGAAACCTGTCCTAAACCAGGATTAGTAAAACAGGTTTTATTATTATAATAGAAAAGACATACATTTGCAATGAAAATACATTATTAGGAGAGGGAAATGGTAGCACTTAGTTAACAATATCCTATCATGGGAATAGTCAAAAACATTAGCAATTTCTTAGACAAAGAATAGAGAAAGGAATGGCAAATCAGTATACTAGAGTAAATTATTTATATTCTATCTACATCCTACTGCCCCCCTGTAGTCATTAGACCATGAAGCACTGAACAGTTATATTTTTAATTCCTTCTCTATCTTATTATATTTGTATATAATTACAATTTTTATAGTTAGCTTTTAACTTTTAATTTTTCTCTGTTCTGACAATTGTGGTCTTCATTTCATATTTCATATTTTCTATTATTATTTATGTCTTTTAATACTTCCTTTTCTCTTTTATGGCTTTATTACTTTATTACCTCCCTGTTTTCTCTCCCTTTACAAAGTCTCTTGCTTGCTGTTTCTAGTATCTGCAGGTACCTGAAATGATGAAATGATGATGAAATGAAATGATGAAATGATGTAACCATGAATTCCTTTCAGAATGTCCTTGGAGTATCTCATGGCGTATCTCCAAGGCAACAGATGCTGGTCTTTCTCTGAAGCAAAAAAAAAAAAAAAAAAAGGATGTTAACATTTCTTTTGTTTTTCAGGCCACGATTGTAGAGAAGTTGGGTCTTGGACACTATATGGATGTTATAAACCTGTACACAATTGCTACATATACACCACCTACATCTGATGAAAAAGTTATTGTAACAGACACAAAATTTGGCCATGTTCCAGTACGTCTTTACATTCCTACAAAGCAGTCAGATGTCTTGAAAAGAGCAATGATTTTCATTCATGGAGGTGGATGGTGTATAGGATCAGCAAGTAAGCACAAGTATTTTATTCTACTAATGTGGGTCTCAAATAAAAACTGTATCTATTTATTCTGATGTCCCAGGGCTTTCATTGAGGTATAACTAGCGATGATAAAAACTACCAGTTCAGGCGAACTGGTATTTCCAATGATCATCTGTGCCTCTCGATTTAAAATCGCTAGAATTGCAAGATTTACAATTGTCAAAAGGTAAATTGATGAGGTTGCTCCTCCCAACCTTTCTAGCTCTCGCCAGTTTATTTGCTTGCCAATTTTAATTTACAATGTAATCTGAGCGGTAGGGGAAAACAAAGTACTAAGTTGCTACCATCCCATTATTTTTATTTTCTAAAGATATTTATGGGATGTAGGACCAAGAAGGGTTCTCAAACATAAAGGAGGCTGTTACCATATGGCCGTGGTGGTGAACCTATGGCACGTGTGCCACCGGTGGCACACGTACCCATATTAGTGGGCACGCCAGCTCAGCTCTGGTGCACATGCGCGCACCGGCCACCTGATTTTCAGGCCTTTTGGGCCCACCAGAAGTAGGGAAACAGGCTGTTTCCTGCCTCTGGAGGGCCTGGGGGGTGGTGGGAAAGGCTGTTTTCGGCCTCCCCAGATGCATAGAGAGGACCTGAAGCCAGGTGATAAAGAAAAATGGGCCTATCGGGCCATTGGGGGGGGGAGGGGGGTTGGGCACGCATGCGCAGGGTGGGGCACATCATGGGTGTGGGCACATGTGCAAACCTCCCCCCCCTTCCTGGCATGTGATGGCAAAAAGGTTAGCCATCACTGCCATATGGTAACATGTTAGTTTCCCATTAGAAACAGCAACAAAAAATCCCACTTCTTTCAAATCGGATAGAGCACTGAGCTTCACAAAGATGAAGGAAGACATACCCAGGCACACCAAAACTGTGCTTAATCAATGAAAAAGTATTCCTACTCCAATTTAAAGATGGGAATGTTCAAAACCCATTTAAAAAGATCTTCACATCCTGTTGACTACTTGCTTCTCTACTTTGGTAGTCTTTTTTGACAGCCTCAGCAGGAGCAGTATCATTCCAATCACTGAATCACTGAATGGTAAAGATTAGAGCCATTTATCTCTGGCTCACTAATTTTATAATGCTCCCAAAATTAATTTCCACTCCCAGAATTCTTCAGCCAGTAGCCAATTTTGGGAACTGGCATCCACAAATCTTGAAGTTGCCAAGATTGGAAAACATTGGATTAGAGATTCATGGAACGTTGCCAGAAAGTCCTTCCCAAAAGAAACAGAAAGCAGCTTGTTAGAATTGTGTAGGTTTAGGACTTCAGACCTCACATGAACATGAGGCAGGAATATTTCTGCTATTCATAAAAGGAGCTTGATGTTTCTTAGGTTTCTATGGTGATGTGCTAGGCTCACTCTTCTGGTAATCTAAAGCCCTTGTTTCATATTGTTTTTGAAGCATATACTGTGTATTGGTATTGCAAGAGTAATAAAACATGCTTTGCCACTTATTTTTCACAGCCATGAAATCCTATGACCTCTTATCAAGATGGACATCAGAAAGACTAAATGCTGTTGTGGTGTCAGTCGAGTAAGAATGGTGTTTGAAGTAGACATTTTTGTTCATTAATCTTTTCCTAATCTTTTTCTAGAAACAAAATATTAATTAATGATTAGTATTAGCAATGGCACATTGAAGCCCCATATACTGTATATTGTTATTGGTTGCTCAATTATACTTCCTTGCATATGCTGTGCTATAAGTATTATTTCATATTTATAATGGATAACTAATGTAGTTTTACATTTGCTGTCTTTTATACTTTTTGCAAAGTGTAAACAAACAGAATATGATTGGAAGATGGTATAATAATATTTAAATACATAAACTGAAATGCACAGATCATTTCAACTGACTAAAATCTGCATTTCACAATATAAAAATATAACGATCCCAATTGTCAGCCTTTTGTGGTAACCCAGACAAGAAACCAACACTATGAATAGTAATACTACCTTTATTGCAAGGTTATAGTAACAGAATCTCACACTTTTTTCCTGTTGCCTTTACTTTCAAAGGAACCAGCATGGTCCTTCTGAGATGCTTTCCACATCCCATTCCTTTTGTGAGCTGAGATGTCTCTTATCTTTTATCTGTGGGCTGTGGTTCTTCCTTCTCTTTCTTAAGGGTATTTCCACAGATTATTACATCAGCCTTGCTTAGCAGCTGCTTTAAAAAAAAAAAGCTAATGGTATTTTTCAAAGTTAAAGATTATTCTGCCTCAAACTATTCAATATAACTGGGGTGAAATCCAGCAGGTTCTGACAGGTTCTAGAGAACCGATAGCGGAAATTTTGAGTAGTTCAAAGAACCAGCAAACAGGGAATGGAGACTTTGCAGTATCTTTCCCCTGCCACACTCACCAAGCCATGCCTACCAGGCCACACCATGCCCACCAAGCCACACCATGCCCACCAAGCCATGCCCACAGAACCGGTAGTAAAAAATTTGGATTTCACCACTGCATATAATTTAATGAAGTGTAATTATTCTATTGACAAAATAGACAAGATTACAATTAGTCGGTAAAAGGGAAAGAAATTTTATTGATCATTCAGCACACAAATAAGTCAGGAATTCAAAAAAATTAAGCAAATTCTATATCAAAGAAAATCACCTTTTTAAATCTAGTATCAATAGTGTAAATGTAGTGATAAATTAATTTTGTTTTACAAAGACAAGGAATTCATATATTTCTGTTATTGTCTTTTTTAATCAATTCCAAAAAGTTATAGACTAGCTCCAAAATATCGGTTCCCAGTTGCATTTGAAGATGCGTACTCAGTAGCAAAATACTTTCTACAAAGCAGCATCCTGGAGAAATACAATGTAGACGCAAGCCGAATTGGCATTGCAGGAGACAGCGCAGGAGGTAATTTAGCTGCAGCTGTAACCCAGCAGGTAAGAATTACCCATTTGAAAGTAATAAATCTAAAATGGAATTATACATGTTATTATCCTCTGTTATCCTGATACTAGTTACCTTGGGGCTTTTCACACTGGATACCTAAGAGTAGGAAATCATAATTTTTAATTACCCTGAAAGATTCAGGATCTTCTAAGGAGTCCAAAATGGAGGGCCATATTCTAGCATGTTTTGTTTTTGTTTGTTTTTATTAAATTTATATACGTTAATTGAATCCCAGCTATCTGAAATCATCCTTCAACCTCATATCTTGGGGCAGGGGTGGGTTCCACTTACTTTTACTACCGCTTCACAACGGGAACGCACATGCACATAAGCTTCTGCACATGTGCAGATTGTTAGTGTGATGTCGGGGCAGGTGGGCAGAGCCTCCCACCACCATTACTACCGGTTCACAAGAACCGGACTGAACAGGGAGCAACCCACCACTGCCTTGGGGTATAAATAAGAACTAGCTGCAGCAATTAACAATCGTGGCAACTGCTGGGACTTTTCACATTAGATGGGTAAAACTGGGTATCTACCATTTTAAAAGAAAGTCCTAGATTTTTAGTTTGTTGATTGCCTCAGAGCGAGAAGTAGCATGCAGGCCATCTACCATGGTTGCAACGAAACCCAAGAAGACAACTGATTCAGGAGGAAATCCATTAGATAGCACCTTGTCAATGGTTATTTCATTGTGAAAAATGTAACTTCAGCCCAATTTCAAGAATAAAGCACGCTCAACAATACCATCAAAGAGACAAATTCATGTCTCTTTGAGACATGAAGAATAGTAAAATTATAGTCATTGATGAATAAGGTTGGAACATACTGAAGTTCTCAATATAACTTTGGATAGCAAGTGTAATAAGATATCTTCCAGTATTTTATTTGCAATTTTCCTCAAAAGTCATTACGATAGAAAATTGGCAGATTACAAATACTGTAAAAAACATATCAGTTAGGGTTTTCCCCCCTTCAATTATGAATAAAAGAGATAGAAAATGTATAAGCTTTGAAATTTTAATGGATGTTTTGCTTACATTACAAAATACGAAACATATTAAATAGTCCATTTTTCATAGGAACAATATTTCTAATAAATATTTTTTTTCCCTAGCTTCTAGATGACCCTGAGGTCAAAGCTAAATTCAAGATTCAAGCTTTATTTTACCCTGGTCTTCAGACTATTGATCTGGAATTGCCATCCTATCAGGATAATAAAAACATGCCAATTCTGCCTAAAACATTACTAATCAGATTCTTAAGTGAATATATTACATCAGATGAGTCTTTTTTCAACGCTTTGGAGACCAATCAACATGTTCATGCAGAGTTCAACCATTTGTTTAAATTTGTAAACTGGAGTAACTGGCTACCTGAAAGATTTAAAAAAGGCCATGTTTATACTGACCCATCACATAGAAATTTCAAAATTGGACACAAATATCCAGATTTACTGGATCCAAGGATGGCACCACTTTTAATTGAGGACATCAAGCTTCGGGGCTTACCACTTACATATGTCATCACTTGTCAATATGATGTCTTGAGGGATGATGGAATCATTTATGTTTCCCGTCTTAGGAAAGCAGGAGTTCAAGTAACACATGAACATGTTGACAATGCTGTTCATGGTGTTATAACATTTCTTACAGGCCCTTTTGCCCTAAATATAGGACAGAGAATGGCTAACAACTACATTGAATGGCTAAATAAGAACCTGTGAAAACACATATATATCACCTGAAGATGGTTGCCATGGATTCATTCGGTTTCATTCGATTTATATTATTTTTTTCAGGGACATTATCTTTTTGGTCAATAAATTTGACACTGTAATTCTGAAGTTTAATATAGAATCTCTTGTTTCCTGCTGTTTGAATAAGTATGAGAAGCTTGGTAGAATATGTGGGGGGACTTGTATTAAATGATTAATAATTTAAAATGAAAAATAAAGCTTTTGACCATTTCATGTGTGAAATTATAGCCTTGTGTCTTGAAATTTAGTATTGCTTTAAAAGTCATGATTTATTTCTATACTCTTTTGCCATCAGCAAAATGTGTTCCAGTGAGCTTTTTAAGATAACTTGTTCCTTTTTGGGAAGTGACCAGCGTGAATATCTGGCTGTAACCATTGTAAGTTCTTGAGTAGCATTTCATGAATAAAACCTCTTGTTTTTTTCTTGATTGGATTTTGCATGGACGGTGTCAAAGGAAATAGGTGTGATAGTTCCTATAAATATCTGGGATTCAAGTTGGCTTGTTGATTGTGAAAAAATGTTCTATGAGATATATTATACCACAAATGTACATATCCTATACTAGCTCCCATGGTGAGCTGTTGGAACAGTTAGGTAGATATGTCCTAAGGAGGCTTCCTTAGATCCAGTTTATTTAACCAGTCTCCAATTTTCTCTTTTTAGGGGAGACAATCCAAAAATGGTGGGACTGCAACTAGAGCACTGTAGAGGAACTAGATTATCTAGATCCATTTCGGCCAGGTTTTTGACTTGGGTATGTGTTACAGATTCTTTTTTAAACCATATTCAATTAGATTGACCCAGACTCAAGAGAGATAAAAAAAAAGTGCTGGACTTTGGATGTCTTACAAATATACGTGTCCTTCCTATTACCTCTATTCCATATTCTTATCTATTGCTATTTTTTCTATATTATTATCATATATTATTCTATATTATTACAATTATATCTATACAGCATTCTACTTCTATTATATACTATTACAAAAGGGACACGGTGGCTCAGTGGCTAAGATGCTGTCGATTGAAAGGTTGGCAGTTCAGCGGTTCGAATCCCTAGTGCTGCTTAATGGGGTGAGCTCCCATTACTTGTCCCAGCTTCTGCCAACCTAGCAGTTCAAAAGCACGTAAACAATGCAACTAGAAAAATAGGGACCAACTTTGGTGGGAAGGTAACAGCGTTCCGTGCGCCTTTGGCATTTAGTTATGCCGGCCATATGACCACGGAGACGTCTTTGGACAGCGCTGGCTCTTCAGCTTTGAAATGGTGATGAGCACCTCCCTCTACAGTTGGGAACGACTAGCACATATGTGTGAGGTGAACCTTTACCTTATTACTATTACAATTGTCTCTACACTTTTATTATTATTACTGCTATACTATTCACTGTTACTAATGCATAGCAATGTTTTCCTCTTACAGAACTTGTTCTGTCTTAATTTCTCTGTGATTTTTTTTCTTCTGTGTTGTTACTGCTAACACGCAGAACCCTTTCACTTTTCCAAGTTGTGCTTTTTCTTGCTGTGTCTCTACACTTTTGTTTCTTTGCAGTTTCCACTCCCTCTGAAGGAAAAACACCTCATGTCTTTTTGCTGCTGCACTTCTCTGTTCAATTTGTATAGCATCTCATCTCTTCTCCTCCCACACCTTTTAAGGTTGTTGTTTAATCAGCAACTCTCTTGTGCTGACACTTTTTCCTCTTTTTACACATATATTTTACTGCCTCTTTTTAAATTAATAATAGGAAAACAGTTACATGAGAAAGAAAAGGAGAACAGGTTGAGAAAAGATATTTAGCAATTTGCAAGCAGAGATGCTTTGTCCCTTGAACTAACTTCACTGCAAATAACTCGTAATCAGACATGACAGGAAAGTGCCACAACAAGAGGAAACGGAGTGATGTATTCACAGCCAAATACAGTGACCCAACTCTGAACAAGTGACTTGTGAGAAAAGGAATGCTTTTTCTCTTCCACTTCAGAGAATGATGAGTTTCAGCATTAGTTCTATTCCATATCCATTAAAGATGCTGCAGTATCATGTGTCATAGTGAAGTAGGCGATATCACTGAATTATATGGCTTATCATATCTGACTATTATTGACACTACTGACAGAAATCAAGATAGTGGGGCAAGCACATAATCCATCAATTTGGAAAAGAAGAAGAACAAGGCAAATAAATAAACAACTGCAATAAATTCAAATAAATAAATAAATAAAATTTAAAAAATAAAAAAATAAATTTAATATTTTTATTTAAAAAATAAATAAACAACTGCAATAATACACGAGACACAATAGATACAAACTTAAGGTAAATTGCTCCAAACTTGATTGCAGAAAACATGACTTCAGCAACAGAGTGGTCAATGCCTGGAATGCACTACCTGACTCTGTGGTACCCAAACCCCTAAAACTTTAACCTTAGACTGTCTATTTTTGACCTCACCCTATTCCTAAGAGGTCTGTAAGGGGCATGCATAAGCGCACCAACGTGCCTACCGTCCCTGTCCTACTGTCCCCATTTATTCGTACCCATTTCCTGTGTTCATATTCATGTTTATACTTATATCTGTTATCTCGTACATGTTTGACAAACTAAATAAATAAATAAAAGCCTATTTTCATACTGTTGCTCCCATATGGCAAAAACCCAGGAAAATGTTTTAACATTAAAAAAATGTTCTCCTACTCAGTTAAGCAATACTTTTTGCAAGAAATAATTCAGCGTGATGGCATTTGGAAGATTTCTTTAGGATAATATTTCTGCAGAGGAAAATTCTTGTGTAATTCCTTTTGAGAAAAGGAGATTATAATATGCAACTGGGAGAGGGATTTTTTAAAAAAAAATTGTGTACCTATAGGGCACTATTTGTGCATTTCGCAGTATGATTATAATTACAGGCATATAGTGCAGTTGCAAAATAGTTTGTTCTGCTTGTTTGTATTCCCTAATCCTAATGTTTATATTCCCTGAGATCAAATATATTGTGTAACATCTGTCTAATTAAGTCAGGATACCATTGCAACAATACACCCAGTAAACACTGATCCATAGAGAATAAGGGCAAGGTTTATTAGGAATACTGGAGGAGTATGGTATTATCATGTAAAGAATAAAAATAAAAGTAAATATTGACAATGAAGTTAAACATGCCTTCAAATAAATCTCAGCTCGTATTAGTAATATTCATGCAGTTTGTCTGAGAGCATGACAGAAGTACTTTCTCATTGCTTTTTCTGAGATTTTTCAATTTCTCAGCATAGACAAGAGCAGTTTCCCTGGCCAAGTATTAACCAGAATTGTTTTACAAACTGGACAGAAATCTTGAAACTTGCCTATTAGAGAGAGGCAGACACGAAGAATCATCAGAGCCTAATAGAACAGAGTAAGGTCCCTCCCAACTCTGTTACTGTTACATCGAGAGTGAGTCTTTATAGCAATCAGAGGACACGATCTTTGAACAATGTTTAATTCTGATGGAGTTCTCAGCCTTGTGATTATTTTCAGTTAATCAAATATCATTGTATAAATCCTGCCGTTTAGTAGATTGCTGAGGTGCAGAGTTGTGTCTTGTATTTCTGTCAGCTAGTGGACAGTGTAAACAGCAGAACATTGGCCTGAATGATCTGTTGTCCCATTTTAGTAATGTCTGCAGGGAAGAGTTGAAGGAAGGGGGTGCCAAGTGTGCCACTTTGGATCCCTATAAATCCAGTGCCATAAATCATTTTTATGAAGCTAGCAAGGCAGACTGCATTAGAGATGCTACTGAAAATGGAACTGTCAAAAGAGGAAGGTGATTGTACATCATATGCTGCCTCCTGAGAATGTTCACTGTAGAGATAACTCTCATAATGAATCAAATACTCATCCACGCCCCTCCTGTGTATTCTACCTTTCTTTCCTTTTATCTTTTTCAGTGTGACTGTCCTTCAATATTTCAACTGTACGATTATATATCTTCTTCTTCTTTTCTAAATACTAAATATATTCAATTCTTCATATTTTCATCACAAAAGGAATGTGCACCAAGTAAATATAATTTTTCTATTTTACCCTATCCTTTACATTACATTTAGAAATATGATCTATCTACTCTACAAGAGAGACATTCTACAATTGTTAAAAACTAAGGCATCCATCAAAATTATTTTGGAGCAGGTAGTTTGACTTTTCAGACTCAGCTCCCACAATCAGGTCTTAGTTCCACTAATTATTTTTAATGCAATTATTTTTGATAAACAAAACAGTCTGGAAAATGGATATTGCAATAGCTGGAGACAGCAGAATAAAAGAGAAAGAACTGGAGAAAATTGCAAAATGCAAAAATCTGAAAATACAAGAAGAACAATTGTAAGGAAAAGAAAGAAAAGGTAATATCAATACTACTAAGTGCCTTAGGTACAATTCCAAAACATCTGGAGCTCCACTCAAATCCCATCAGCATTAACCCAAAGGTGTTTTTTCAAAAGTTAGCTAGACCTTCTTTTTCCTTGAAGATGTTTCACTTCTCACCCAAGAACTGATACTACACTTGATCTTAGCCAAAAGTCCGAGAAGCGAAAATCGTCTATTTTCAGATCATCCAAGAACTGAAGAAGCTTCTTGGATGAGAAGTGAAATGTCTTCAAGGAAAAAATAAGGTCCAGTTCAGAGATGGGTTTCAGCAGGTTCTGACCAGTTCTGGAAAACTGGCAGTGGAAATTTTGAGTAGTTTGGCAAACCGGTAGTAAAAATTCTGACTGGCCCCACCCCATCTATTCTCTGCCTCCCAAGTCCCAGCTGATCGGGACGAAATGGGGATTTTGCAGTATCCTTCCCCTGGAGTGGGGTGGGAATGGAAATTTTAGAGTATCCTTCCCCTGCCACGCCCACCAAGCCACACCCACAGAACCGGTAGTAAAAAATTTTGAAACCCATCACTGATCCAGTTGCCTTTTGAAAAAGCACCTTTGGGACAACCAGGACTTGGATGACTGAGAATCTCCATAGACATCCTTCAGCATTTACAAAATCATTCTTAATCAATTGCAAAAGGCAGATTTACTTGGAATAACTGACGTCCTGTGATGATGTCTTTAACACCATCAAACAACACTGAACTATCCAGCTCCTCGGAAAGGATTCTGGAGTTAGACAAAAATGCCAAATCCAATTAAACATCTGGCTGATTCTGCAACAAACCATAATCATCAATCAATCAATTTCTAAAACCAGCCATCTCAACCCAGTGACTTGGGGTGGTGAATATTTCTAAAACAATTAAAAACACTATAAAAATACAAACATCAGCTGAGAAAATTATCATAATAATTGTCCCTATAGCTGAGAAACAGGGCCCTGCATTAAATATACTCCATTAAATGCTGCAAGTCACATGTAGATGTCGGGATGCAAGTATAATTTCTATCATTATACACAAAATAAATCTTGCATCTTTAAAAATTACAAATAAATAGGGGAGAGAGAAGTTCTGGGCACATTAATGGTTAACAGTTTTATCTCAAGTTATTGCTATTCAGTTAAGCCATCTGAATTCTTGCAAGAAGAATTTGGACTGCCTAAAACTGCAAAATGGCAGTTTAGTCAATTGATTTCAAAGTTTGATCTAAATGCCTTCAGGGCATCTAAAACTTCAAAATTACTATCAGTGTTAGAATATGCTTTGAAGAATTGTAAGTCTACAATATTTTTTAATCAATAATTAAACAGAATCACCAAGGTAGTTATTACTATTTTCAAGAACTCTGGAGAGAAAAGTTGGAACATCTTTTATTAAATTAACAACTGGGGATCTTAAAGAATGTTAAGTATGTCGTTGATGATCTTTAAAACTTTGTAAACATGTGGATATGAAGCAAAAGTAATTTTACATCTAATAAATAGTGTGACAAGCCCATATCATATGAAAAAGTGTCCTGCACTTGCACTGAACAGTCAGCAAAATAATGCTTTTTACATGTGCTGCGAAATCCCAAATGTTTAAAGGGTTTGCAGTCTATGTCATTTTGTTGGAAGTGTAAAATGATTGAGAACACATTTATACAATATAGGCTGTTCTCACCATTGAATGATTTTGGTTTAATATCCATAAGGTGATATAAAACTCAATACATATTTCAAAGATAATATGATTTAAACTTTTGAATTATCTACACCAAACTTGGAATTTACTACTTTATGAAGAGCATAAAACATGGGATGCAGTAAAAAGATTGCTATTCCTTGTTGGAAAGATAGTACAATTCCAGATTGCTATGCTGAATTACAGCTATACTGTATATGTTTGCTTTGTGTTCCTGAACTAGCTCTCTACTAGTGTAATGGGAAAACAAGTCAATATCATTCAAGTCAAGAATGATTTTTAAATCATTAAGTTGAGTGATGCTTTTAAAAATTACGCGAAATGATTTCCTATGCTACATGTAACATAATCTGTTTTTGGTTTTTTCTGTTTTTTCTATTTTACCTGTTTTTCTGCTTCCTCAAATGTTTACTCTCATTTTTTCCCTCTCCCTCTCTCTTTCCCTCCCACACTTTGTATATTAAAGCAAAAGAATTTTTTAAATAAACAAATTTAGTTTTCTTTTCAACCCTAATCTAATTTCAAATCTAATCTAATTCCTGTTTTACCTGTTTTTCTGCTTCCCCAAATTTTTACTCCCTCCCCCTTCCCCTCTCCCTTTCCCTCCCACACTTTGTATATTAAAGCAAAATATTTTTTAAATAAACAAGTTTATTTAGTTTTCTTTTCAACCCTAATCTAATTAGGCTCTAGGTAAACTAATAAAGGAAAAGTTTCTAGATGTCTACTCTCTATGGCTCCTTAAACTGGACACACACACACACTACATATATGAATAGCATAGCATAGCATAGCATAGCATAGCATAGCATAGCATAGCATAGAATAGAATAGAATAGAATAGAATAGAATAGAATAGAATAGAATAGAATTCTTTATTGGCCAAGTGTGATTGGACACACAAGGAATTTGTCTCTGGTGCATAAGCTCTCAGTGTACATAAGGAGAATAAAATACATTTATCAAGAATAAAAAGATACAACACTTAGTGATAGTCAAGGTTACTAATAAGTAATCTATCAAATCATACTAGGACACAAATAAAAACAATATAATTGAAAGATACAAGCAACATGGTTATAGTAATAAGTGGGGAGAGATAGATATTAGTAAGGAAGAGAAGACTAATAGTAATACAGTCTTAGTAAATTATTTGACAGTGTTGTGGGAATTAGTTGTTAAGCAGAGTGATGGCATTCAGGGAAAAAACTGTATTATTATTATTATTTATTGGTTAATCTTTAGTGAGATTCACAGCCTTTGAGGCTGGTTAATAGCTCAGCAGCTCGAGTCCTAACCAAGGACCTAGGAACTGTTAAGGTATCGTCGGAGGATGTAAGCTGTTCCGAGTAAGGTGGTTTTTTGTAGAGTCAAAATGTTCAAGTCCGGCAAATTTAGAATTTCTAAATAGCAGGGTAACCCTTTGGGTATTGCTCCGAGGGCTCCAATTACAATCGGGACAATTATTATTATTATTATTATTATTATTATTATTATTATTATTATTATTTCCTATTCAGATTGTAAATAGATGAGGCATGAATGTTGTACAATTATTATTTGTCCTTTTAGATACTGGAGGTCAAGATTGTAAAAAAAAAAAAAACCAATTCCTGCTCTCTTTCATCTGAGTTATGAGAATATCCATCAACCTGAATTTTAATTAGCCTGCTGTTCTGTAGAATACAATATGAACATTTTGAATCTCACCACATGGGGGAGTAATGGAATAAATATTCAGATGCTAAATAACAGATAAAAGTCACCTTGGTTGGATGTCACCATGTCACTGATTAGCATGAACATCTGGCTAAATTTGAAAAACAAGACTTGCCTTATTTTTGTTACTCCGTTGTTTTTACTAATATCACACTATTGTCGAGAAAGCAAGTTTGTAATAATTAATGTGCGTCTAGTTAATTTTTGTTGCAGATGCAGAACATATGGTCTGGCCTTATTGTAAATAGCGGGTCTGTTTTCAGGGCCGTACAGAATTTTCTACTAATTTATTTTAATTATACTGCAATCCTTTATGTTAATATAGGTAACTCAGAGAGAATGGGGTGAAAGAAGAGGAGAAAAATTCTCAGAAGAGGCCAGTGGCAAATCACTTCCATAATAAGATCAAGAAAACTACATGGAGGTAATTACTAAAAATCAGGAAAATATCCCCCATCAACAAATTGAATCTTTTCACATGATCAAAAACACAAATAGTTCAATAAACCAGGCAACAGTGCTTTACTATTTGCAACAAGTCCCTGGTCAATGGGGACTGAAACCCTGATTTTGTATGGAAACATAAATGGCTTTGTTGAAAGTAACATCTCTATGGAAACCTTTCAAAAGAAAGGAACAAAGGAAATCACATAAATGTAATTCACATAACTTAATGATTTGATTTGGCTCTTTGCCAAGCAGGATTTCACATTTTTCATACAATTCATACATTTGATGGGATTCCGATTCACCCATTTTTTTTTAGTAACAGATGAAAAATTCCAAGTGAGATTAATCTACTTATAACTTTGCAATTGATCACAATCACTGTCTAGTTTTCCTAAGCATGGAATTTGACTAAAGTCCAATGTTGTAACAAAAGTGAAAACGTCTCCTACTTTATCATTTTTTTTTTCTTCAAAAATGGGATTAATGGTTTCTTGTAACCATTTGGCCAATAGCACTCTGACTAATTAAATGGAATAATGGATGGTAGTTTGATACCTCCATCTTAAGAAGTATAAATTGAAAAGATTGCAAACAATTGGCCCAAAACCACATAAATCATGCCTCCCCGACTACGACATTCAGGTTAAGACCGATCTGACAAAATGTATCCTTTAAAGAATGAGATTTTTCACAGCTAGCCTCTGAATGTCTTCTTGCTCAATTATAAAGGCAAACTATAGACACTACCGAAGGTAATCTACCCTCTGCAAATAGAGAAATGCAGAATCCTGTTGGATCCCATTTCATATTTGGTCTCATATATTCCGGATTTTACTCCAATATTGCTTAGCTTATTATTCCTGAGTTTCAGTGCCTTAGGACCAAGGGTTTTAGTACCAAGGGAATATATTTTATAACTAAGGTTATTTTTCATTGAAATGAAAAAATACCAAAAAGAGAGAGAGAGAGAGAGAGAGAGAGAGAGAGAGAGAGAGAGAGAGAGCGAGCATGGACATAGTTGCACACAAAACAAAGACAAGCATGTCAGGACCTAAATATCTTATCTTTGTAAGCAGCACTCAAGTTTTCAGAAGTCTTCAACCATTATTAATGGCCCTGCTACATATTCCAGTTCAAATTTCTTTGACAAAAGCAGTAGTTATTTCAATGATCATGAATGTTCTAAAAATAATTTCTATCATAAGATATGTTTTAGCTGCTCTTTGGCGTTCCTGAAGTATTCTTTGTGCTTTGAATTGCCTAGACAACAGTATCAGCTTTTCAGCACAGTAAAGATTTGTTTAAAATTTTCAAGTATACTTTCTTGTGGATCAAAATCTGGGCTTGCCTCTCCTTACTTCAAAGATAATTATGCATTTAATTATAACCCTAACTTCTCATGAAATCTATCTCCTTAAATTGTGGCAGCCACGATATATGGACAAGACCAGACCAGACTTCAGTTTCACAGGAAGACTAAACCTACTTTTATTGAAACTGGCTGTAATAACATAAGAGCAAGTCTGGTGTAGTGGTTAAAACATCAAGCTAGAAACCAATCTTGTGAATTCTACTTCCACCTTAGACGCAAAGCCACGTGGATTATTTTTGGGCAGTTGCACTTTCCCTGCCCTAGGAAAAAGACAATGGCACACCTCTTTTGAAATCTTGCCAAGAAAAATACCAGGACTTGTTCAAGTACAGTAATTGCCAGGAATCAAAAACTGACTCAAAGAAACAATAACAATAACAATAATAATACATCAAGAAGTTGCAGCTTCCTGCTATAGCACCAGCAGAGCTGCAAAAGACTGCGCTATTTGGAACAACATACATTTTAAGAAGATACTTGGTTGAAACATAGGATGCTGGTAGCAACCAGTATCAATCATCAGAGCCAGTCAATATTTTTGATACATTTTTAAATGATCAGTTGACTGAGTTTCATGTTTAATGAATAAAAGATATTATTATTATTAATAATAATAATAATAATAATAATAATAATAATAATGCAAGAAGATTGCACAGACTGACTACAAGCAGCGGCAATGCAAAGTATCAACAATGGTGCATTGGAAGATCTGCAAGAGATATCATTTGCTTGCAAGCAAGAACTGGTGGCACCATAAAATAGAAAAAGTCATAGAAAATGAAGAAGTTGTTAAATTGCTCTGGGCACTTCCGAATTCAGATGGACAGGCACCTGCCACATAACACCCTGGACTTAACAATTGTTGAAAAGAAAGACAGCAAGGCTGGATAGTGGATAGCAGTGCCTGGAGACAGCAGAAGAGAAGACAACCGGAAAAGATAACAAAATACAAAGACCTATAAATAGAAATAAAATGACTATGGCAAAGGCAAGAAAGGGTAGTAACAATAATAATAGGGGCTTTGGGTGCAATCCCAAAACAACTGGACCACTACTTGAACACCATAGGCATTGACAAATTTGCCAACAGTCAATTGCAGAAGGCGGCTTTACTTGGAACAGCTTCCATCCTGTGAGGATATCTGTAAGAGCATCAAACATCCAGATTTGCCTATCCCATGTCCTTGGTAAGTATTCGATAGATAGACAAAAATACCAAACCCAGTCTGAACATCTGGCTGACTGTGCGATGATTAATAATAATAACAATAACAATAACAACAATAACATGGCATGGCATTATAAAAAAAGCAAAAGAGTGCCTGCTGAACAAGGGAAATAGTGAAATTGAAAGCAAAATATCGAAAGGAAACAATCGAGCATCAAGTTTCTAACTGGAAAAAGAAGCCTATGCACTGTCAATACCTGAAGGACACTGAAGGAAAGGCAGGTACAAAGCTAACATGGAGATGGTTGAGATCAGGGTACTGAAGAAAGAAACTGAAGGCTTCATTTTGTCTGCCCAAGAACAAGCTCTGCAGATCAATTCCATAAAAGTAAAAATTCAACATGTCAGTAACAACAACAAATCTTGCTTATGCAACGAGAAAGATAAAACAGTAGATCACCTTCTCAGTGGCTGCAGCAAAATGTCACAAACTGATGATCTACAACATCATGATCGAGTTGCCAAAATCATACATTTGAAGCTTTGCCAGAAGTTTGGGTTCGAAAGCACAAAAATTACTAGAAACACCAAAGTTCTTGAAAATGAACAGGTTGAGATCTTTTGAAACTTTTGAATCCAAACAGACAGACATCTGGCCCATAACATGTCGGATATCACTGTTATGGAAAAGAAAAATGTCTGATTCATTGATATTACCTGAATATACTGACTTTACAAGAAACCACCTTACTCAAAACCAGCAGGTTCTGACAGGTTCTGGAGAACTGGTAGCGGAAATTTTGAGTAGTTTGGAGAACCAGCAAATACCACCTCTGGCTGGCCCCAAAATAGGGTGGGAATGGAGATTTTGCAATATCCTTCCCCCAGGAGTGGGAGGGAATGGGGATTTTGCAGTATCCTTTCCCTGCAATGCCCAACAAGCCACGCCCACAGAACCAGTAGTAAAAAACGATTGAATTTCACCATTGTTCAGAACTGCCTGTATACTCAGACATTACCTTAACAGCTCTTAGGTTCTTGGTTAGGACTTGAACTGTTAAGTTTTTATCAGCCCCAGACTGTGAATTGAATTGAAGATTAAATTTTAAATACCAACTACTACAACAACATAATTTGCCAAGTCCGTGCTGTAGCACTTCCCCCCTTTACATGGCTTCCTGAGCCATATTCAAATATTATTATTGTTCTGGGCTTACAAAACATCTTATCCCTTTTGCCTAGATAATGGTTCCTATATATTTATGCAAAATCACCTTCATTATTTTCTACAGTTATCAAAGGTTTGAATATATTTTCACTTCTTTTCCCTTTGTATAATATTATGCACAATATTAGGATTGCATCTGAAATAAGGATCTGGGATCTTTCTGTTCACAACTGCTCTCTCATCAAGCTTGTTTATGCATTTAGTAGGCTTTTTGCCTTTTTAAACAACACCATTAGTCCAATCCTCGACTTCCTAATGGGTGATCATTGCAGAAAGATGCTAGTGAAATCTCTTTACAAGAACCACACCTGCCATAATGAAGTAATAATGAATATGGGGATTTTTCTTATAAAAAGCAAACCACTCTGTTATGTTTTACAATGTTTGAGGTTATATTCTTAGCAGACACATATGCCAGATCACTCTACATAGAAGGCAAAGGATAATGATGCTCTGAAAATAGCCCTGAAGGACATTTTCAATGAACACCTACCATTTATCTTCATGATTTGAGATATTTCCATGACAACTGTCACAGCATTAAAGAGGCAGCCATTGTAGACAGAAGATAAAAGCTGTGCTACCAACTTTATAGTAGAAGAAATATTTCTTCTTTGGGCAAAGCCCTGTACTGGTTGAATTAACTGAAATTGTGAACATTGGTAAAAACATAAATTCAGATTGATTACTTTTTAAATTGATCTACATGCATGATTTTTTATGTGTGTTGCATATTTGTTGGTCAACTAATATCCTATAACTGAATATCTATGTAAGGTTGTTAGTTACAAGCATGGCAATAAGCAAGAGATAGAGCATTCCTCCTTGTTCTTAAAGCAACGCTCTCTACCTAAGGCTGCCCTTGAAAACCACTCGAAGGCTTCAGCTGGTGCAGAATGCGGCCGTGTGGGTTGTGATGGGAGCGTCCCGACAGTCCCAAGTTACACCCCTCCTGCGCGACTTGCATTGGTTACCGGTTGCCCTTTGGGTGAGGTTCAAGGTGCTGGTTATTACCTACAAAGCCCTTCATGGCCTAGGCCTGGGATATTTGTCGGACCCCCTGCAGCCAGCGACAATTCCCAATCGCCCGGTGCGTTCCCACAGAGAGGGCCTCCTCAGGGTGCCGTCGGCCAGACAGTGTCGGCTGGTGACCCCCAGGGGGAGAGCTTTCTCTGTGGGTGCACCCACCCTCTGGAACCAACTTCCTTTGGAGCTCCGGATGGCCCCTGACCTTTGCTTGTTCCACCGCGATTTGAAGACCTGGTTGTTCCGCAGCTGGACTGATGGGGGGTTTCTTAATGAATTTTAAATTGTTTTAAATTGGAATATTAATTTTATATTGTCTTTTAATGAGGAACTGTGCATCTTTACCATTATGAGCAGCCCTGAGTCCTTGGAGATAGGGCGGCATATAAATTGCATAATAAACAAACAAATAAATAAATAAATAAATAAATAAATAAATAAATAAATAAATAAATAAATTAAAATCTCCTTCAAGCTGAGATCAAATGCTGCTGATTTTATGGACGTGCCCAGGCAACTTTGTTGGAAACAATATGGAAGTACTGGTGCTTTCTTTTAGGAGAGTTGCTCAACTTCCTAGTCTAGTCAATTACATTAGAATTCCCAGGAGAATTCTAGCTGTAAGTCCACCCATAAACATCATTATTTGAATCAACACTGATAGAGCAACCAGAGTTGGAAGGGACCTTGAATGTCTTCTAGTCCAATCCTCTGCTCAGGCAGGAAACCCTGTACCAACCAACAAATGTTGTCAAATCTCTTTTTTAAAACTTTCAGTGTTGGAGCACCCATAACTTCTAGAGGCAATTTGTTCTACTGATTAATTGTTCTAACTGTCAGTAAAGTACTATAAGAGATCAAGTGACAAAACCACTATAATTTATGGCAAAAATACTGCCTACAATACGCTACTAGTCAGATCCTAATTTTTATTGATTCTTCATATTTGATTCTTCCCCAGGCTAAAATGAAATGCTAAAATGGACGAAGTGTACGTCTAACTTAGCAGTATCTTAAGAATTTCCCTAGCTGTGACATTGGCTTGGAGCTATCACTAAACATAACAATCTAATGCTGATTTTTTTTTCTTTTTTTCCCTACCATTTGTGCAGATTAAGTTTTTTCCCTTACAATAGAATTAGAGAACTTCAGGTCATTTAGATATTGGATCCATATGACATTAACCCCAGCCAAGATGATCAGTATTCAGGGCTACAAGACTCTAAGCCAGTAACTGCTAGAAACAGCAATCCATCATATAGTTAGCCACAATTATTCTGAAAACACTTAACTGTTTTAACAACCCTTTGGCACCAGTCATCTGTTTTTCAACTGTGTATTGCATGTTTATTACATGATTGCAATTGTGCCTCTAGTAATGAATAGCTTGATTGTCTATATTTTGTTAGTTAAATGGTGGAAGGCATATCCATAACAACCACCACAAAATAAACTGTGCTGGCTGACATATACATTGTATTATAGAATGACCTTAGAAAACATAATAGTAGATCTTTATCCTTGACCATTTTTATAACCTTTTTTTCATAATTGTATGATTCACCTTGTACCTATTTATAGACAAAGACTTAAAACCATAAAACTGATAGTTAAAACAATGAAGTCTTGGACTGAGGAGCCAAAATTTAAGCTATAGGCTTGCCTCGACTACAGAGACTGGAGCATTTTTGAAGTTGCCTCAGCAGACTTGAATAAACTCACTGTTATTGTGACATCATACATCAGTTTTTGTTAGGACTATTGTGTACCAACTAAAAGCCTATGCATGTACAGTAACATTAAACTTTGGTTCACAGCTAAGCTCAAGTTACATTGTGCCAAAGAGGAAGCCTCCAGGAACTGAGATAGAATGCTGTACAATCAAGCCAGGACTGTATTAAGAAGGGAAATCAGGGCAGCAAGGAGAAGCTACTCTGAAAAGCTGAGGAATCAGCTCTCAACAAATGAACCAGCAAATGTGTGGAAAAGCCTTGAAAATATAACTGGCTACAGCAGACCTCCCTCCCTTACTGAAGGGGATTGGCAAATGGCAGATGACTTGAATGTGTTCTACTGTAGGTTTGAGAGGAGACCATTGTCAACTATCACTAGCCTCCCCATCTCAGATACACAACAACAGCCAAGTCTTCTACACCTGACTCCATCTCTCTGGGTCTCCCACCTGTGATGACCCTAGAAAAAGAGGTGTGAGATCTATTTCACAGACAAAATACCAGAAAAGCACCAGACCCAGACAGAGTAACTCCTTCTTACTTAAAAGTCTGTGCTGATCAACTGGCCCCAATCTTCACCGGTATCTTTAATAAATCACTAGAGATGAATTATGTTTCTTCTTGCTTCAAACACTACTATCATCCCAGTGCCCAAGAAACCCTCCATCAAGGAGCTGAATGACTACAGACTGGATGCTTTGACATTTGTAGTTATGAAAACCTTCAAAAAGTTAGTGCTGGCCCACCTGAAAATCATCATAGTCTGCTGCTAGACAGCCTTGTAATTTGCCTACCATGCAAATAGGTTGGCAGATGACCATTTATTTCTCCCATGCCATCACTCTGCTAAACACCTACAGTAATTCCTACAACACTGTCTTATGTCTAAGGATATCTAACCATGTAGTAGGGCTGAATTAGTATTAAACTTCTCATCTTTCCTATTACCTACTCATGTGGTATCTTATAATTTTCATTTTTTGATTGTATGTTACAATTTATGATTGTATCTTATGATTTATCCTGTTGCTTGTATGTGCACTGAGAGCACCAGAAACAAATTCTTTGTGTGTCCAATAACACTTGGCCAATTTCTGTTCTGTTCTATTGACATAGGGGTAAAATTTCAAGGTTAATTTCATCAGCTATGTATGCTAAACCCAAATTAAAAAAATAGGATATTGCATAAAATAAAGATGCCTTGGTATCATTACTAATTATGTGTGTTTGTATGCATTTCTTTGAATATATTGAAATATTTGAGAAGGCAAGTTAATCTGCACACAGGTAGTCCTCAATTTATGACCAAAATAGAGACCAAAATTTCTGTTGTTAAGTGAGACGGTTAAGTGAGACTCGCCCCATTTTATGACCTTTCTTGCCATAGTTATTAAGTGAATCACTGCAGTTATTAAGTTAGCACTGCAGTAGATAAGTGAATCTGGTTTCCCAATTGACTTTGTTTGCCAGAAGGTGACCTTCTGACCCCTTCTGAAAAACATGACCCCGGGACAGTGTAACCGTCATAAATATGAGTCAGTTTCCAAGAGTCTGCATTTTGATCACATGACAGTGGGAATCATAAATGTGAACAGTCATAAGTGTGAAAATGGTCATAAGTGACTTTTTTCAGTGCGTTGTAACTTCAGACGGTCACTAAATGAACTGTGGTAAGTTGAGGACTACCTGTATTGCAAAATAAACCTATTTCAGGTGCATAGAATACTTTATGAATAAGTATGTCTTGGATTCTGCTGCTTCCTCTTAATTCATTCATCAAAGAAAGATACTGGAAGCTTCCCAGAGAGTAACACACTGCACTACTGAATTTTGGCAACTAAAAAATAAGGAAAATGTTCACAAAAGCATTAAAAATTGCTAATATTTTGTCTATTATATTACTCCAGACTGTGACTGTTCTATTTAGAAATAGCAATAGCACTTAGATTTATATACCATTTCACAGTGCTTTTATAGCCCTCTCTAAGCAGTTTACAGAGTCAGCATATTGCCCCCAACAATCTGGGTCCTCATTTTACCAACTGTGGAAGGATGGAAGGGTGAGTCAGCCTTGAGCCTGGTGAGATTTGAACTGCCAAATTGCAGGCAGCCAGCAGCCAGCAAAAGTAGCCTGCAGTACTACTCTAACCACTGTGCCACCGTAGCCCATTTACAAAGTTGAATTCCCTATGATGTAGGTGGAGGTATATGTGCCTAGCTTCTGCTTTTTAGAATCTACTACCAACAATCAGAGAGCCAGTTTGGTGTAATGATTAAGGCATCAGATTAAAAACTAGGGATTCTAGTCCTATTTCAAGCATGAAGTTAGCTTGGCCATTACTCTTTCTGCAATAGGAAGGAGAAGAGGACAAACTACTTCCCAAAAAATGCCTTGCCTAGAAAACTGCAGGAAGTGGTCCAGGCAATCGGCAAGAATCAAAGATACACACATCCCACCTTCCCCAAAAAACAACAGCTGAAGAACCAGCAGACAAAAAATATGCTGCAGACTGGCACTTGAGTAGCAATGAATACTTTGGAAAAGATCTTCAGATGCTATGACAAACCACAAAGTTTGTACAAAGCTAGAAAGATCAGAAATGTATAGGCAGTGGTTTTCCCTGTGACACTTTATGGTAATGGAAATGGAAGAAGCAGGATAGAAAGCGTATTTTTACTTTTGACATTTTGTCCATCACTTTGGTACTTAAGAAAACTCCTGAAATACCACAAGTAACCAAAATACACAAAAATACTATTCAGCAATTCAATCCAAAGTTTCTTATTTGATACACAAAATCATCATCTTCTTCTTCTTTTAATGACCCCATAATCACTTGCGGGGTGGAGTCTGGGCAACTGAATGGAGCTAGCAGAGTATTTAAATGGCCGGATGCCCTTCCTGTTGCCAATGTGGAATATATCAGCAGATACATTCTCATTGTGCCCAGAGAAAGAAACATCTGTCTCTACCTAGGATCGAACTCACAGCCTCCTGTTTGTGAGGTGAGAGTTCCACCTCTAGGCCACCACACCACTCTAATTTGATGCACAAAATACCAGATTTAAATGATTTTAAATGTTTTTATACTGGACATATTTAGTTATCTTATAAAGTATGTAACGCTGGGAAAGGCAGAAGGAAAAAGGAAGAGAATGACCAGCAACAAAGGAGATGGATTCAGTTACAGTGGCAATGTGTACTTTGTTGGAAGACCTGCAGGACTGCTGATGGATTTATGTGGTTGCTAACAGTCAACAAACCTCTTGCTGACACAGAATCCATCTGTCAGAGTTCCAAGGAATACCCCCAACAAAATAAAGCTCCGAGGCCTGAGGTTCCTCAAAGTTCCAATTTATTAGAAATGTCATGTTGGCACATCTGGGAAAACCCGAATCGGAAAGCTTCCAAATTTCCCCCACCCAGCTAAGAGTTCACAGCCCTGCCCCACACCCACAAGTTCATCACATTGCACAATCAACTCTTCACACTCCACCGGATACAATCCTCAGGCAGTCTCCATCAGACGCATGCAAAAGTCCTTGAATACAGAATGTTGTTATGACTAACTTTCTACCATTCCAACAACAACCCCTTTCCAACTTCCCCAGCTAAAATATGTGGCAGTTTAGAAGCAAAAAGAAAATTGTCTTCCAAAACTGACAGGCTCCCCCCCCCCACTTGGAAAGGAACGCATCCTGGGACAAGACTGAAGTCAGGGTTAACACAATTAGCACATTAACCGCCTCTTCTCCCCTCCCCCCCCGGCTTATCAGTATCACATCCACATACTTGTATTTATGTATGCCTACATCAGTTTTACAGCAGCAGTATTATATTTGTGGACAATTTCTATTTGTCTATAGATATGCCTTAGCAAATGGTAGTATCAGAGTAAGGAAACTATTTATTGCATCATTGTGGAAGAAACATTAAGAAGTTCATTACTGTAGCAGTACTGTATAATTATAGCAAACAAGACAAACCATTTTAATGGTTTAAATTATTATACACTGATCTAGAAGTCTTTCTAATGAACTAGGAACATGCGTTCTCCTGATTAGGTTACATAATCCTATGCTTCATAAGTGGCAGATCCAGTTTCTGAGGCGTGTGAGAAAAGGTAAAGTATGAGGAATTTTAGAGAGTTGTAAGAGCTGTTTCATTTCCAGTAGTCTTTCTTTGTTAACCTCTGGTTCTTTCGTCACTGAAAAGAATATGAAAAATTACAAGTATCTTCCTGGTCAATTGGATTTTTTTTCATACAATTGATATGCAATTGCATTCTCTTTATTGCTTGACAATCGCATCCCCCCTTTTTAAAGGAGATTTGTGTTTCAGTCTGTCAAATACTATTTTGAGTTAAATGTACATTTAAAACCACAATCCCCTTGAATTTAGAAGAGAGGAAGTAAACTGGGCTTTTTCCCACAGATGAGTGGGCTTGTTCCTACAGATGAGCAGGATTGACTAACCATTTTTGTAAAGTGTTCATTCATATACATGACAAAATGAAGAGTAAGACATTTTCTATCAAACGGTAAAATTCACACACTGCATAGAATAGAATAGAATAGAATAGAATAGAATAGAATAGAATAGAATAGAATAGAATAGAATAGAATAGAATAGAATTCTTTATTGGCCAAGTGTGATTGGACACACAAGGAATTTGCCTTTGGTGCATATGCTCTCGGTGTACATAAAAGGAAAAAAAACATTCATCAAGAATCATACACGAAGGCTATGAAGCCAAAAGTAGCCTTGCTATCTGGCACAATTAGGCAGGTGCTTCAAGTTGGGTAAGAGCTCTGGGTAAGAGCTGATCCTTGGCAGCTTGAAGATGTTTGGATTGCTTGCTGGGGAATTCTGAGAGTTAAAGTCTTCACATCTCCAAGTTGCCAAGGTTGAGAAATACTGGATTAGATTGAGAACTGAGAGAAAAAAACCCTCAAACCTGGAATCAGATAGTGGCAAATCATTTTCACATTTTTGCGCAAACCCCTAAAGAGATAGAAGAAGAACTAGACAAGATTTAAAAAATAGAAAGACTTGCAAATAGAAATAGAATAACTGTGGCAAAAGAAAGCAAAAGTATTCTCAATAATAATAGACTTTTTATGTCTAATCCCAAAACAACTAGCGCACCACTTGAACACCATAGGCCCGTGATGGCGAAACTATGGTATGTGTGCCACAGGTGGTACGCATAGCCATATTAGTGGGCACACCAGCTAGACTCCTAGAGAGGCTCTGGAGGCTGGGGACAGCAAAAAACGTCACTTTCTGTCCAACTGAAAGTTGGGAAATGGGCCATTTTGGATCTCCAGAGAGCCTCCGAGAGGGTGGGGAAGGCTGTTTTCACCCTCCCCAGATCTATAGAGAGGATCTGGAGCCAGGTGAGAAAGAAAAATGGGCCTACCGGACCATCACGTGCCAAGAGGGGGGGTCGCGCGCATATGCGTGGGGCGGGGTGCATAGAATTATGGTGTGGGCACACATGCGCAAACCTCCCCTGTCCCCCCTCCTGGCACATGATGGCAAAAAGGTTAGCCATCACTGCCATAGGCACTGACGAAATCGCCATCAGTTAATTGCAAAAGGCAGCTTTACTTAGAACAGCTTATATCCTACAATACCTTTAAGACCATCAAGGTCCTATGCCAGGTCCTTGGAATACATGGATAAAAATATCAAATCCTGTCTGTAAACATCTGGATAACTGTGTGATAAACCATGGATAAATTAATAATAAACTGTTACAGCTACTACCAAGAATCATTTCTGCACCTCATGCATGAAGGTTTTCAAAAAATCTGCCCATCCTACCTAGCTACCCCAGGCTTGTCAACCTTGGATCCCTCCAGATTAGTAGAATAACACCCAGAATATCCTTCCCAGCATGGACAGTGCTAAGAATTCTAGAAATTGAAGTTTACTTGAGTGACTTGATCCATATAGGGAACAATAGAGCTCTCTCTGAGGACATGAAGAATTTCTGAGGAATCAAATATTAATTATATAGCCTGCCTGTATGGGAGTTGCCTGGCCATCTGAGGATAGTTGGAGGTTCTAGGAGGGTGTTTCTCAACCTACTTTAAAAAGTGTGGGCTTCAACTCCCAGAATTCCTCAGACAGCATAAGCCGTCCTATCTCAGCAGGGTTTCTTGTGCCATTCCATAGAAAGCTTTTTCTGGATAAAATGGTAAATACCATTTGATGCTGACTTCAAATAAATGTATAAGTGAGACATGTAGGATTTTTTAATGCGGTGGGTGTCATTATAATAATTTGCCAATGCCTCTTCTGTTCTAGGTTTTTTGGGTTTTTTTGTTTTAGTTTGTAATTTGTTTACTTTGTTTATAGCTTTGGCAAGTAGCTGTCTTCAAGCACATTTTCACGCTTGTGCTTCTTAGCTCAGTTAAAGATCGGTCAGGGCTGGTCTTGTGATGTATTTCTGGATAGCTGCCTTCAATAATGAACAAATAACTACTTAAAAAGGAACATCCACAGAATAAAGAGTTTTAAAGGGTAGGATTTTTTTTAAAAAAGTTAAAGAATCTTTAGTCAGATCAGAGATGTTTGAAATGATTAATTTGATTTTACTGTCTCTGGTATTGTTTGGCATTTTTTGCCTTCCCTATTTCTAATTAGGATAAAGGTACAAATGAACTCGTGCTAACTTTGACAGTTTTGTAGCCCATTATTCATTAAAGTAGCTTACCCAGAAGAGAAATGAAGTGCATTTTCAACAGCTGTTTGCTTCATACATTTTTTCTATAACAAAATTGTCCAAAGAGTATTTGCATTTTTCACAAAAGTTTGTAGCTCATATAATTTATCATCTTAAGTCAGCAGCAGTATGAGCCTCCCCCAAAGTCTGAAGTCTCATGTTCGAAAACCGCAGTGATCATGATCAAATAGTGACAGAAGAGAATAATATTTAAATACACCACTGGATGAAAATGTAATTTTATTTAAATTAATTCAACTATAAAAGTGTTTGAACCAAATTTAATTTTTGTCCTTGTATCATCTCTTACTTTTCAAAGATTGTCCCCGGCATACCTAAAAATCTTGGTATGGTTTTGTGATCTAGTTTATGTGAATATATACACATCATCATCATCATCATCATCATCATCATCATCATCATCATCATCATCATGCAGTATGGTTAAACCAGAGGTGAAATGTAAAATTTGTTACTGGGGTTCTGTGGGCGTGGTTTGGTGGGGGGTAATGTGACTGGGTGAGTGTGGCCAACTTTTTTTTTTTACTTTTAAAAGCATTTTTTCGGCTGAAGATGTTATGGAAAAATGCTTTTGAAAGTTAAAAAAAAAGACTCTAATGATTGCATGGCTCAGCTGGGCATGGGGGGGGGGGCGGACAGGGATTCTCCAAACCACCTGCTGCCATCGTTACCAGATTGGGCGATCCAGTTTGAACCGGGAGCATTTCACCCCTGGTTAAAACCAAAAGAAATGGAAGAATAGGAGGAAGATTACAATGTATAGGTAATACTTGACATGTTGGTATCAGATACAGATTAACAGAGTTGGAAGGGACCTTGTAGGTTATCTAGTCCAAACCCCCACCCCACCCCACCCAAACTGTTCCATTGGTTGAGTGCTCTCACTGTCAGAAAAATTTTCCTTATTTCCAGGTTGAATCTGTCTTTGATCAGTTTCCATCTATTATTCCTTGTCTGGCCTTCAGGTGCCTTGGAAAATAGCTTGATCCCTTCCTCTCTGTGGCAGCTCTTCAAATATTGGAACACTGCTATCATGTCTCCCCTGGTCCTTCTCTTCACTAGACTAGCCATGCCCAGTTCCTGCAACCGTTCTTCATATGTTTTAGTCTCCAATCCCCTAATCATCTTGGTTGCTCTGCTCTGCACTCTTTCTAGAGTCTCAACATTTTTTTTATAGTGTGGTGACCAAAATTGGATCCAGTATTCTAGGTGTGGTTTTACTAAGGATTTATAGGTATTAGTGCCTCACTTGATCTTGATTGTATCCCTCTGTTAATGCAATTTAGGATTGCATTGGCTTTTTTGGTTGCCACTGTGCACTGTTGGCTCATATTTAGTTGGTTGTCTACTATTGCCTATTATTTCTGAGAGGTAAATATATGAAAGAAGACACAGTTTCTCCATGGTGGCATAAAAACTGCAATAGTTTATTATTTATTTATTATTACATGTATTTATATGTCGCCATTCTCCCGAAGGACTCAGGGCGGCGAACACAAGTTAAGAAACAAGTACAATAAAATCATAATTTAATCCAAATAATTAAATAGTAGTAAATAATAAAGCCCAGAATCAGTCTCAGACTATTTGTTTGAAAAGCCAAGTCTTCAAGTCCCGACGGAAGAAGCGGAGATCAGGAGCCGTCCGGAGCTCAGTAGGTAATTCATTCCAGAGGGTGGGAGCACCCACAGAGAACGCCCTACCCCTAGGCACAGCAAGGTGACATTGGCTCGCCGTTGGAACCCTGAGGAGAGCGGCTCTATGTGAGCGAACAGGATGGTGAGAGGCAGGCAGGAGAAGGTCATGCAAATATCCCGGACCTAAGTCATGAAGGGCCTTATAGGTGAGGACTAGCACCTTGAAGTTTCCAGATAGAGTTCTTCTTGTTGGCTTTCAGGAAGATGTTCAAAATGGAATATTATATGATAGGTTTTAACTGAATTCATGATAGTGCGCACAAATGCAGATTTATTTCTTTTAATTTACTTTTTTGATATTTTATTTTTGGTTTTATTACATCTTCTAGTTTGGGTTCTTATAATTATCTTATTAATATTTCAATTGTGTTGATTTTTTTCTTATATATCATATAAGGGAGTTATTGAATGGTGATCAAAATGATATAAAAGTAGGTATTGCATATAAAATTGTACATAGTAATGCTTTACCTGTAAATTATTCTTTTTTAATCGTAACGTAATGCTTGTGAGCAAGCGCTTCAATGTAAACCGCTTTAAACTTGATTGTAAAAAAAATTGATTCTTGTAACAGAGTGACAAAGTCTGGAATATCTTAGCTGATTCAGTTGTTTCAGCTACTAACTTTCACAGTTTTAATTCCAACTTAACTTCTGTAAACCTCATCCTTTATATAAAGGTTCCTAAGGGGTGTCTGTAAGTGCACTAACCTGCCTATTATCCTTGTCAGAGTTTAGTTCTTCAATTTTGTTTGTTTGAATTTGTCATTTTTGTTTGACAAATAAATAAAAAGTAAGTAAGTAAATTGTGTCCATGTGAAGCAGCTCTTGCCCTTGTGAGAATTAGTCCTAGAAGTGGACCATTATTAAGACTTTTTTTTTCTTTTAAGCTTCTTACACTCTCTAGAGCTACAGACAGTAGCCAAATCCAACACTGTAGTATTAAATTAATGCAAGATAAAGGTCTATTCACTATTCTACAGTTGGAATAGTGAATAGACCAGTGAATTAATGAGGGCGAATATCATCTTACACTTGATTAGAAAACATTTGATGGCATTTTAGCCTCATTGCTATTTTAAAGCTTTTTGCATGTTGAAACATATCTCCTGGGCCAAGGATGAGCAACTCTATCTTCTTCATAACATCCTTTGATGTTATCTCCAGGCTCTCAAAATTATATCAGTAAAACTATGTAATTTTTAAAAGCAGCATGCTGGATGCAGTGTGCTGCTGCGGAATTCTGAGAGTTGAAGTCCACATATCTTAAAGTTGCCAAGTTTGAAAAACACTAATGTAGAGAGGTTAGCCTAATTTTCCATAAGCTAATTCTTTCCCGGTATGTTGTGACTTCAATTCCCAAATTCTGAGCCAAATGGCAGAGAAAGTTGGAAGTTGTAGTCTGGAAGGCACAAGGTTATAGACAACCACATTATCTTATGTAACTATATCTAGGGCAGTGCTAACCTTTTTGCCGTTGTGTGCCAAAAGTGGGGAGGCCAGGGGGTCGTGCACACACACACTCATATTTCAATGCGCCATGCCCCCCGACGCATGTGTGCATGACCCCCCCCGTGTTCCCCCCATTTTTGGCACAGGCCCAATAGGCCTGTTTTTTGTCCTCCCCAGGCTCCAGAGGCTTTCTTGGAGCCTGGGGAGGGCAAAAATGGCCTTCCCCACCCCCCTGAGGCCTTCCGGAGGCTGGAAATGGCCTGTTTGCCAACTTCTGGTAGGCCCAAAAGGCCTAAAAATCAGCTGGCCGGCGCATGCCTGCATGCTGGAGCTAGAGCAACGCTCAGGTGCCCACCGATATGACTCCAGGTGCCACCTGTGGCATGGTAGGTTCGCCATCACAGTGCTATAAAACTGCATCTAGGTATAGATAGAATCTGGGTATTTATTCATGAGATTAAAGTATGGGAAAACATACTTTCATTATTAACTGATGGTAGAACAGGGAAGGTATTCATACTTATCAAAAAGACACCCCCCTCCTTTCAAACTTACAGTGTCAGACAACATTTGCTACTATGAGGTTGAATAAACGAGGACATTGTCATGGTGATTTGGAAAGAATTTTTCCTACAAATATAAACATCCAGTTCAATGTACAGATGAGTCATGGTGGAGCCTGAATTATCATTCCTCAAATTTTAAGTTATTGAAATATCTCGGATTTCATGCAAGCAACTAACTTAAGTTGATTAAATACAGGATTATAAGGTGTGGTAATTTCTAAAGGTTTGCTAATGTAAATAAGGAAGTGGTAGTTAGCTTTAGGTATCGTAGCATCTCATTCTATGACTCAGTGACAGAAATAATTCTTGTTCGAATTGCACAATGTTTGTTTGATAAAAAACAACAAGCAAGCATGTTTTTTTAAAAGTTCCTTCTTATATTCTCTGGTTATCGAAAACCTTTTTTTTGTGTAATCAGCTCAGGCAGAACTTTATAAATGGATTTTGTCTCTTTAACTATGGGCCACTTCTAGTGGCTCAGGAAAGGCAAACACTTGTTTCATTATTTCAGTGTTCTCAGAATGAGTTTTGCAACACTTTTGCTACAGTGGCTCTGCCTACCTAGCTCAGTCCAATAAGCTTCCAGTAACAACTGAATCATTAACCACTTTCAATACAGTATGCAAATCAGGCAGAGAGTCTTCTCTTGGGCTGTTTTCATTATATCGTGGCTCATCCCTCAGAACATGGTCAAGACGTATCTTGCAAGGACAATACCCATTCTACAGAATGGTAAGTTGCCTTAATGGAAAAAGAATCAAATCAAATTATTAGATAGTCTATTATATGGAGTATTGTAAGAGGTTTTCAATGCTTTGTATTTATAACTGTGATTAGATATGAATGTTTATATTCTTAAAATTAATGGTATCAGTGAAGAACAATAATCTTATCCTGAATATTAAGCAATTGTGTAAAAATTTTTTTCAAAATAATAGTTCTGCTTTTAGTATTGATATTTAAAGTTTGCTTCCTCAGTCATAATGATTATGCAGTTTGAAATTATTTTATTATTGGATAGTTCCATATTGAAACTCTAGCAATATATCCCTAATTCACACACACACACACACACACACACACACACACACACACACACACAGTTTAATTCATGCCTTTTCTGAAAATGCCTTCTTTAAGAAAACTCATGTGTAATTTTCAAAAGTAAGGCATTGTGTACAGTGGCTTTTGTTACATAATCCATATCAATTTTTGTTCTCAGTTATCTCAAAATTGATAGTTTGATCCTTTTCTTTGGTCTTGAGTTAAATTTAATTATTGAATTATTGTGAGCTTTCAATACCAATTATCATGGTATCTTCTGGAATAACTACAAAGTCCAGTGCTTTTCACATACCTGTTGGTGTTGACAATGAGTTGGATGAAGAATTTAAACTGAATCCCTGAAAGATAGATACATCTACTGTGAGTAATTACAATTTTGGAAAGATAGGAGGTCTACTGTTCATTCTTTTACAATAAGCCTGAAGTCTAAAGGAATATCTGGATGTGAATCTCAATTTGCGCTGGCTGAGGAAACCCATAGAATCTCCTATTATGAGTTTCAGCTGAGACATGTTTTATTCTGGAAGGAAATAACCATAAAAGTTGTGGTGTACGCACAGATAATCTGCAGAGTTACTATGTAATAGACTGGCTGAGGAAACCCATAGAATCTCCTATTATAAGTTTCAGCTGAGACATGTTTTATTCTGGAAGGAAATAACCATAAAAGTTGTGGTGTACGCACAGATAATCTGCAGAGTTACTATGTAATAGACTGTAACAGAATAATAGAGTTGAAAGGGACCTTGGAGGTTTTCTAGTCCAATCCTCTGCTCAGGCAGGAAACTCTATACCATTTCAGACAAATGTTGTCCCATCTCTTCTTAAAAACTTACAGTGTTGGAGCACTCATAACTTCTGGAGGCAAGTCGTTCCACTGATTAATTGTTCTAACTGTCAGGAAATTTCTCCTTAGTTCTAGGTTGCTTCTCCCCTTGATTAGTTTCCATCCATTACTTCTTGTCCTGCCTTCAGGTGCTTTGGAGAATAAGTTGACCCCCTCTTTTTTTATAGCAACCCTTTAAATATTGGAAGACTGCTATCATGTCACCCCATGGTAGCATCATGGACTGCCTTTGTATTTAGTCCCAAAATTTAATTGATACAGAATCCAGCAGCCAGGGAGATCTCTGGGGGGAAAAAAGTATTATATTGTATCCTTCCTAAAACCAATGCTTTAGTTGTCATTTTTTCCCCCATCAGAGTTTCAAGGTGCAAATTCCTAGCAGCCTTTTAATTCATCACAAGGTTAGGTGATAGCAAATTGGTTAATTCTCAACATGTCAGTCACTACATTTATTAGCTCTGGATTTAGTCATCAACGAAGATTTTCCTCCTATAACTTTCATTTAAAAAGGACTTTATCAGTTTACAAATATGTCATGGGAAATAAAAAGAAGATCCTGAGAAATTGTAATATATATCTGAAAAGATCTGAATGACCACTGGGTGGCAACAAACAGAATTCTATATACCCATGCTATCAAACTGGAATTTGGACTTTTGCAGACCAAATTTAGTAGCCTTATTTTAGACATTGAATCAAATAAATAAGAGAAACAGAAGGATCTCATTTGTCTTGAGAACAGTCTTGCAATGAATATTGCTTTAAATGTGAGTAAAGACTATCTCGACTGTTCACAAGACAAAACAATAAAATAAATGAGAAAGCCCAGTTGCGTCCAGAATAAGCACCTTTGGGACAACCATGACCTGAATGACTGAGAATCTATAGGTAAAGGTAAAGGTTCCCCTCGCACATATGTGCTAGTCGTTCCCGGCTCTAGGGGGCAGTGCTCATCTCTGTTTCAAAGCCGAAGAGCCAGTGCTGTCCAAAGACATCTCCATGGTCATATGGCCAGCATGACTAAATGCCAAAGACGCATGGAATGCTGTTACCTTCCCACCAAAGGTGGTCCCTATTTTTCTACTTGTATTTTTTATGTGCTTTTGAACTGCTAGGTTGGCAGAAGCTGGGACAAGTAACGGGAGCTCACTCTGTTACGCGGCACTAGGGATTCGAACCGCTGAACTTCTGACCTTTTGATCGACAAGCTCAGTGTCTTAGCCACTGAGCCACTGGGCCCCTACAGAGAAACTCTATAGAATAATAAAATAAATACCTTTTTAAAAAAAAAATCATTATTTACATCAGTTTTATATTTTCAGGACACAAATGACACCAGAGAATGCATGAAGCTACCTGACCATCTGGAAAAATATTACCTTACCACTATGTACTCTCTTGAATTCATCTTTGGTTTCACTGGAAATGTTGTTGTTGGTTTGGGTTCACTTTTCTACTGGAAGATCTGGAAAAGTAGCAACATCTACCTGATCAACTTAATCCTGTCAGATTTATCTTTCCTTTGCACTCTGCCATGGCTAGTGTCAAGTTATTCCAAAAGAACAGATGACAACGTGTGGTGCCAATTTAACAGAATTATCCTGTTCTTTAATTTGTACACAAGCATCCTCTTCCTGACATTTATAAGTATTGACAGGTATCTGCTCATAAAGTATCCCTTCAGAAATCACTTTCTGCAGAAGAGAGCAACGGCTATTGTTTTCTCAGTAGCCATATGGATCTGGATTATGTTGGAACTGTCTCCTATATTCCATTTCATCACCTCTGATAATAACAGCAACATTAGTCAATGTTTAGATTATGCAAGTTCAGGAGATCCACTCCCCAGCCTAATCTACAGCCTGATCTTGACAATCACTGGGTATATAATCCCATTGTGCATCATGTGGGTTTTCTACATAAAGACTCGTGCTCTCCTTATAAGCCACAGTTTGCAGTTCACCACCGCTCTGCCCCTTGAGAAGCCTCTCATGCTAATCATTATGGCAGTGAGTATCTTCTCACTTCTCTTTGCTCCCTATCATATCATGCGCAATATTAGAATTGCCTCCCGACTATCATTCTGGAAGCCTTCCGAATGCACAAAGAACCTGATTAAAGCTTTTTACACGATAACAAGGCCTATTGCCTTCTTGAACAGTGTAACTAATCCCATCTTTTATTTCTTAATGGGAGATCACTTCAGGGAGACGCTCTTGATCAATGTAAGGTATTCCTTAAAAAGAGTTCTACCTTGCTATAAATGAAGTTTCAATGAAGCCTTTGGACAGATATGGAAATTGCTAGTTTATGGGATACAAGATACTATTTTTACTATGAATTTGGCAATTGTCCATGAACTCAAGTGGATTCTAAATGTGGACATCAAATCCTGTTGTTTTCTTCAAGTATTTCATCCAAGATCTTGTTAGGTGGATAAAAGGCCAGATAGTATTTGAAGCTTAAAGTGACTTTCATCAGTTTTGTGTGGAGAATCAGCAACTTCCTTTTTCAGAAAGACATACACTTGAAATGGTGTTCTTTACTAGCTGAATTCCATTCAAGCTGGATTACTGGGGTATGTTGTATTGATGTGAACTGCCTCTGAAAAGAAAGTAAAACTCATGCCTAATATAACTGCCAGAGTTAAATCCTTACCCAAGGAGATTGGGTAAGTGGGAGATTGCTGATTGCTAAAGAGAGGTTTGTTTGGTAAAAAACAGGATACTCATTTCAAGTTTAAATTATAAATTTAAATTATATTTAAATTTAAATTATAAATGCAAGAGTATTAGACTATGGGAAACTATGGGAGACGTTCTTCAAATTTCTTTGAAATAAGAGAATTAAAGCAGATTATCTTTCATCCAATTGAATTTTAAACAGTGACAGAAAAAAAAATCAGGAGGTTGTCCCTACTGTGCACTAATTTAGCCTTTAAAACTCTAATAAATTAGAACCAGTTATCTAAATAACTCTCAATCAGCTGACCTCCTGAGTATTTTTTTGAGGATTAGACAAGCAATTAACTAAAAAGAAGGATGTTTCTGTGATGCACAGAATTCAGTGACACTTTACAGCAGAGGTCTTCAGACTTGGCAGCTTTAAGACTTGTGGATTTCAAATCCCAGCTATGCTGGCTGGAGAATTCTGGGAGTTGAAGTCCACAAGTCTTAAAGCTGCCATGTTTGAAGACCTCTTTTTTTACGGGCATGTTCCAGAAGTGCCATTACTGTAATTTTTTTATGTTAAGCAAATCACTTTTTCATAATTTTAATAGATTTGGGGTTCTTGCTACCACTTTTTGTTTGTTTGTATTTTTTTTTATATGAGCTTGCTTTATACATATCAGATGCCAGTGTTTGTTACTTTACCCTGAGGCCTGAGCCTATAACTTTTCATTGATTGCATAGAAGAGCACTCTAAATGTGAAAATATGCTATTTTATTTATAACTTTGTATATTTGTATTTGTACACTTGTTTTTTTTATTTATTTTTTTAAAATAAATCTTGTTGAAAATGAGATTTCTTCAGTTCAGTGATATGCCATTTCAACAACTGTTCTTTGCTTCCCACCCCTAATTTGACAAACATTTTGTGAGAATGCCCACAGCCTCTTTTCAAAATTGTATAAGCACCAGTTGTTTTAAATGCTTTGTTTATCTCTCCTATCTTATAGCATAGATCTGAAGGTTCATCCCTCTAAATTAAGCTTTGTGGTCTTAACTCCTTGCCAGAGTGAATAAAAATATGGTACAGATTAGAAATAGATTAGAAATACCAAATGCCAAATCTATTATTACTTAGAACACAAGCATCAAATGAAAGCAGGACCTATATTTTAACACACCTTCAAACCTGCAAAGATGTTTATTTATCCTTATAGTTTGGCAGAGTGCATATAGAGCCTTTCTCGGCCTTGTGCCACCTGTCAATATACACCACACTACATTCCAAGACCCTCACCCAAGTCCACTCCACCCAACCCTAAATCAGGTTGACAAATATTTAAACATAGCCCTACAAATGTTGATTCAATGCCAACAGGTAAACAAAGCACATATATTAAAAATACAAACTGCACTCAAGATACCTACTGCATTAACATTAGCTTATCTATGCCCCTACAATTCAAAGACATGGCAGGATTAATTTTTTTTAAATGGCAAGGATTTATCTTCTGAAAATGTGTGTTACAGATCCAGCTGATGAACTCTTGTTTGTGCTGCTAACAAATCCATCTAGGTACAGCTAAATCATTTTGCTAGCACTATCACATTTGATGTGACAATGTTATTTATTTCCAATGCATGGGGTAACACCATGGATTGGGCAAACTGATTTTTCTTCCTTCAGCCACTTAAAAATGCATTGCCTCTATTTACTTTAGCATGAAAGTTGACACAGTTAGATACTCCCACCATAAAACCAGGAAGCCACGTGTCAGTGGTTCAAATGGAAGTTTAAAAAATACCTTTCGAAAGAGAATATTCACAGATACATTTATAAATAATTTCCTTTTATCTTTGGAACTCCTAATGCAATACAATAATTGCTGGTACAAGTCTTATAAATAGTGGAAACAAGTTAAGAAATATGCTGAAAGAGATAATTGTGGTACTAGGAATGAAAGCATAAGTATCATCTGAAGTATTACATTTTATTTTCTTCAGAACTTATTAAACCAGAGATACTGCAGCGTGCAACTCTTTTCTGTTTTTATTTTTATTACTGGGAAGAAAGTGCACTACAGCCCAAGACACATTTATTTATTTATTTATTTATTTATTTATTTATTTATTTATTTAGTTAGTTAGTTAGTTAGTTAGTTAGTTAGTTAGTTAAAATTCTCTGCCATCCAATACAAATAATCCTTGACTTACCAGCAGTGTGCTGCAGCTGCCAAAAAGGCCAACAAAGTTCTAGGCTGCATAAACAGAGGGATAGAATCAAGATCACGTGAAGTGTTAATATCACTTTATAATGCCTTGGTAAGGCCACATTTGGAATACTGCATCCAATTTTGGTCGTTAAAAGTAAAAAAGATGTTGAGACTCTAGAAAGAGTGCAGAGAAGAACAACAAAGATGATTAGGGGACTGGAGGCTAAAATATATGAGGACCAATTGCAGGAACTGGGTATGTCTAGTTTAATGAAAAGAAGGACTAGGGGTGACATGATAGCAGTGTTCCAACATCTAAGGGTTTGCCATAGAGAAGAGGCAGTCAACCTATTATCCAGAGCACCTGAAGGCAGGACAAGGCTTGATAAATCGACACTTACAGCTTGAAAATTAATGACTAGTTACAATCGGCTTCTCCTCTCCCCTTGTCTCCTCAGGCTTGCCTCACATAAGCCTTTCCTCTCCCCTCCTCTCCTCCTCCTCTCCCTAAGGCTGGCCCCAATGATCCTCTCCTATCCCCTTCTCTCCCTCAGGCTTGCCCCACAGAAGCCTCTCCTATCTTATCCCCTTCTGGGGGGTGGATGTCTAAACTCCAAGCCTACAGGCCAGATGAGTCATGCGCTGGCCATGCCCACACCCAAGTGGTAGTTGGAACAGAGTTCTTTTCAGGTGGGGAGGGGGACTAGAATGTCTAACTCCTTAGCATCAGAGCGTGTTGATAATAATATAAGAAATATTAATGATCCGATGGTCATTTTGAAAAATCCTTTCTTAGCGAGCACCTAGAAGCCAAGAGGAATAAACATGCCAAATTTCAAGTTTGTTTAGGCTTTACGGTTCTGGAGATTTCATGATGATGCGTGAGTGGTATTTGGCTTTTATATATATAGATTGTAACATGAAAATGGAAAACTTGTAATATGAAAACTAAGCTCTTCTCCCCAGTCTGACCCAATTTCACTTTGGGAATTAAGGAATAACATTTGCTCCCTCAAAATGGCCAAAACATTTGTTTTTATAAACAAATAAGTGAAATATATGGGCAAGATAGGAATAGATAATGGGAAGAAATTATTTTTAGCCAAAGGAAGTGCATAGATTTATATCTAACAAGTAAAAACCAGGAAGATTAATTCTATCAGTTTGAATGAACGATTACATTTGGCTACACTCTTATATCCAATTAGTGGACCTAAACTGTGCTGTAATCTGTTTATACAGAGAAAGATTCAGTGGAAACAACTTCTGTTGTATCACACTATATTATTATATATGTGAATCTATCTGAACTTGAAGTTCAACTATTCACAGAAGTGATGAATGCAAATTAAAAAGGGTAAAAAAAAAAAGAGAAAGGTGGGAAATGTATGCTAAGCTAATAGACACTGATGCTAGGTATAGTTCAGAATTCTACTTCAACAGGACTAGCACATTGTGTTAAGCCACAGTTTCTTTAACCAACGTTTATTGAGAAAGTCACAACTGGCTATATACACATTATACTAACTTTTAATTCCCAGCTTGCTAACTATATGTAGTTGCATTTAAGATTCCTGTGTAACTGAAAATCAAATTCTATCATGAAATCGCATGGTTCTGCTGGAATCTTTGAATTAATGATAATTACTTTAAACACATACAAATTACTTTCATTTCATAGCTGATTGGAAAAAAAAACATTCTTATAAGTTGACATTGAGGAAAAGACTCCCAGGATAACAGATACAATTTAGAGTTATCTCATTTTAAAAATGCAGTCAGATTTAAATATGTGATAGTCAAAAACCTAAACAAAAAATAGCAGGAGGTGAGAAAATCTAAAGTTCATAGAAAATATATCAACATCTCCATAGTCCATATGCATATTTTATTTGGGAGAATGGATAAATAATTCTGATAAATCAGATGCATGTCTTGATTTATGACTGGCCATTCTTTTCTTGTGGGTAATCATATTGCCAGGGCATATAAGGACATCTGAAAAACCCAGTTGCCTTTCACCAAAGAGTTCCAAGCAATTCTGATTCAGTGTTTTGCTTCCAACAGTGAAATGCCAAAAGCTTGTACAATAGTAGGGAAGGAACTTTACAGGTATTGTAATCCTCTCCCAGCTTAATATAGTAGTAGTATCCCTGGACAACAATGTTGTACTGTATGGCACTGAATGCTGGGCAGCAACAACAGGGACTGAAAACTATCTCCATGCCTTGGACATGCGAATGTTCTGTTGGATATCGGGCATCTCCCTTCTTGACCATATCACAAATGACACCATTCGACAACATTTTGGTGTGGCACCAATTCTAGAGAAGATGAGAGAAGGCCGGCTCCGCTGGTATGGACATGTCCTGAGAGCAGCACCTTCCACCATTGCCAAGACTGCCTACCAACTAGAAGTCATTGGCTGGCGACCGCTGTTTTGGATGGCCCTGTTTGGTCATCCAAAACAGAGATGGCAAGACACCATCAACAAAGATATGCAAGCCTCAGGCCTGTGCCCTGGAGACGCAGCTGACTGTGCAAAGTGGTGTTCAATGATCCAAAAAGTAGACCCTGTAGTTGCAGGAATACACTAGGAAGGAGACAATCCCTGGACAACAATAAGCAAAAAGATTCATGAAAAGTCCTAGTACCAGCACCTTATTCTCTTGAAGTTTGCTTGTTTATCCATGTTAGAAGCATCACAATTAAAATAAGGCATACTATATGATATAAATTTAAAATATAACATATGAGATTAAAATATGTACAAATTAAACATTTCTTGCTCAGAAACTAGCAACATTAATTGAGTTCTGTCACACTGTTATGAGGTGCTCAAGTGTACATTGATCGGGACAGGAAGGGCAGGTATTGTTCTGCCCCAGCTACGGACCACAAAGAACGCAGCACACACAAAGTCCGTACAAACCTTAGTTTACTAATTAAGGACTACTAATGAGCTTTCTTAGTAGTTGTTCAAACACAAGTCAGTCTTTTCTGAACAAGGACTATTAATTTAAATTCATTAACAGCCGACAAGAGTCCAAGGAATAATAACTCAATTCCGAGGCACAGTCTTTCAGATAACTGTAAGCTTACTGTGGTTGGCAGAATGCCCAGAAGCAATTTGCAGGAAAAATGTCAAGAAAGAAGCAAGAACCAATCAGACATTTCTGGAGTCAATACGCGAAGGAATATGAATGAAGTTGTTTTCTGCAAATTGCCTTAGTCGTCGTCATTCCTTAAATAGGCTAGGGGAGTGGCCAATTAGCCCCAAGCCTTACTCTCGAGGAGACCTCCTCCTGAGGAGCCATTCCTGCCTTTTGGCAGCTCTGCACGCCCATGCATTGAGAAGAGGCTCCTCCTCTTCTTCCTCTTCACTTATGGGAGCTTCTGGAGGTTCTGAAGGCCCTGGCTGAATCCCCGCCTCTGACACCAAATCTTCTCCAGCCTCCTCATTGTCTGACTCGGGTGCCAGCTGCACAGGCTGCTGGCGAATCACCAGCCTCCTCGCTGTCAGAATCAGCTACCAGGCTGCTGGCGGGCCACAACAGGTATACCTATGTGTTGTTGTCTGCCTGTCACCACTAAGAGCAGAAGCCACCAGATAGCCCAATTTGTTCAGAGTGTATCTGGAACTTGTTGTACCTTCTTGTAGTGAGGTGCT